CCCCAAAACCCCAAAACCCCAAAACCCCGCACGATGCATAAAGTAGAAATGCTTAATATTGTTAATATTTGAATTTAGACTTTATAAATTATAAATAATCCAGGAGGAATTAATGGAAAATAACAACACGAACTACAATCATCTCTTTAAGAGTAAATTTTTGTCCCTTTTCAATTCCTTGATTAGTTGTACTTGTTGGTGATGCAGGTGTAGGAAAAACTCATTTGCTTAATAGGTTAGTCAAGAAAATTACAATTATACTATATGACTCTTTTACTTAGGTATGTAAAAGGTAAATTGCCATAGAATAAACCGTCTACGATTGGTGTTGAATTTGCAACAAAGAACGTAGAACTTAAAAATGGAGGAGGCATAGTAAAGGCTCAAATATGGGATACAGGTACGCAATTCAAATTTCTAATTAAATATTTAATCTAGCTGGTTAGGAGAGATATAAAGCTATTACATCAGCGTAAGTTTTTAGCTTAAATTAAGACATTGAAATGCTTACATTTTCTCAATTATAGACATTATCGAAGAGCAGTTGGAGCTTTAGTGGTATATGATGTGACTAAAGAAGACACTTTTGTTAATGCTCGAAGATGGATGGAGGAACTAAGAGCTAGTGCAGAACCTGACTGTGTGATCTGCCTTGTTGGAAATCAAGTAGACAGAGTTGAACTTAACGCAGCTCTAAGATAAGTTCCTATAGACAAAGCCTAGAAATTTGCAAACGAGCAAGGTTTAAAGTTTAAGGAAACTTCAGCTCTTACTAATGCTAACGTCACCGATGTTTTTGACGATTTACTCCACTGTAATTTATTCTATCGTGCTTAAAGTTTAAAATTTAGTTATATATGATGTTAAATAAAGACAAGAATAGAATGATCCTAATAATGACCAATCAAAATTTAAGAAACTATAGGATCCTAATTCAATCGAGAAAAAAGGCAAATGCTGCTGAAATTTTTTACTAATTTGCACAGATATTTATATTCTAAGATAATCTTAACATTTGTGCTATATTGAAATTCAAGTAATTGAGAATGCTGGGGTTTTGGGGTTTTGGGGTTTTGGGG